TTAATTTTAAATATTTTTATGTAATTTTATTTATTTTATTTATTTTATATTTTGATGTGCTAAAGTCATTTTAACAAATGTATGCAAGTAATATAATGATAAATAACGAGAATTATGATTAATTAAGTACAAAAAATAATTAATTTAAATTTATTTGAACAATAAAAAATAAACTTTAATTAAAAATAATAAAAAGAAAATAACAATTAAAATAAAACTAATCAAAATATGAGGTATTAAGGTATCAACTTCATCATAATCAAACAATATATATTTTAGATTATTATATTTTTAAGATGTTACTACTTATGTGATAACGATATTTCCGATTTTATTTGATATACTTTCTTAAGTTATATCAAATTTATTTTCATCTATTAACTCACTATATATCTTTACGTGAATTTAAATAAATAAAAATGCATTATATTCTATAAAATTTCTTAATTTATATAAAAAATTAAGTCCGCATATCACTAATGCTGCACGAATCATATTGGTTCATTTCTAACTTTCGTTCAATTCATGATATATATAATTAAAAGGTATTATATAAAATCTCTTCTCGATCTCAATTATACTTTTCAAATCTGTTTTAATGGTGATCAAGCATTAAAAAGTATTAATAACAATAATATATAGTCATTATGAAATAGTAATTTCAAAAGTATAAAAATCATAAAAATCTATATTGAATTGATTAGCTTACATCGTAAGCCTAGTTAGCTAAATTAGTTCATAATTAAAATAATACAACATGAAATTATAGTTATGTACATTTGAATATCAAACAATATGTAAAAAAATTTAAGGAATCAAAAATTTTTATCTTTTATTCTTGATATATTTTCTATTTTGATCTTAAAAGAGTGCTCAAAAGAAAACTGTCACTGGCCTCCAAAAGCTCTCCCTTTAATTATGAACTTGGATATTTATAAGAATTTAGAAAATCTAATTTGAATAAAAGTGGAACTCACACCAAAATAATAAGTTAGGCATAAATATTCTGAAAATCGCATAAGGGGTGAAGCCTTTAACCAGGTGCCAATACCTTTTGTTAAGCGTAGACTAAAATCACCTTGTCGGGTTTTCGGCCTTTTGAGTAATATCTGTTAATGGTAAAATGATAATTCTGGTTTCTAACTTTTGAACTCCGCACAAGTTAATCCTCAGCTTTATGATTTCTGCAATTTACTCTTAAAAATTATGATTTCTTCTAATTAAGTCCTTTCTTACACCTGTGATAATGAAAATTTTGTAAAATCAAGTAAAATCTCATAAAACTCATGTAAATATTAATAATGTCAAGACAAAAATTCTACATTAATATTTATATAAATTTAACTCATCATTTTTTTATGATAATAAAAGATTTAAAAAAATTATGATTATAACACAACGATACTGTAAGAAACCTAAGATTTTATATTGCAGGTGTAATTGCAACAAACTAGTTAGCTCCTTCCAGTTCAAGTCTTTTCTTCGAGATGACCTGTAAGCCCCGAGGTGGATTTTCGGGCAGACACTTCAATACTTAAATCAACAATATTTTGGTCTACCTTTAAGAATTATGGAAAAAGAAACTTTATGTTGGTTTTAATTACATTTTTTGAGGTGGCCGCTAGGGGTGTTTATAGGCCTTAATGAGGTATCCACGTGACCTGCTTAACGAGCTAATCGGAGTCTGACGTGTTCACCCAAGCAATGATCTTGAGAATAGACGATTGAGTGCGAACATGCCTATTGTAGTTGTCATACAACTGTATGACTGAGAAGAACTAAATTTGTGAGTTATTTTGGTTATTAAGGAAGTGTAGCAGTATGTTTGAGATCCTTAACCTCGGACCTATCCTTATAGTGGGTGAATCAATTCTTTAAAAAGAAAAAATTAGTCATGGGTGTTTTTTCTTTTTATTTTTTGTATAATTATCAATCATGGTTAAGGTTAAATGATTCGGATTCCATTCCACCACTAAGCTTTTCTTAATATACGTAAAAATTATTCCTATCTGTGCATCCACATATAATGGAATAATTATTTTTGTGGATAGCCGTTGGATTTGGATGCTTCTAAGGGAATAGTCCACGTTATGATTTAAAATGCTAATTATTAACCTTATGTAAAGCAGGGATCTGGTTATCTGCTTTTATCTCTTGAAATTAATTTTTTTTAATTATATTATTTTAATTTTTTTTATTAAAAATAAAATATTTTATTTTTAAAACATAAATTAAAATATTTTTAATTTGTTATAATAATATTTTATTAAAATAATATAATTTTAAAATAATTTTTATTTTAATTTTTAGAATAGTTGCTCTCATGTATTCATGTGCAATTGAAAACATATCCATGTATAAACAAGAGTAGTTGCTTTGATTTAAAGCTATAAGGTATTGATATTTAAGTTAATTAAACACATTTTGTTTTTTGATTTTTTTAATGAGTTAAAAGATAAATTTACATACAAAATTTATGCAAAATTATGACTGTTCACATAGAGAGATTGAGTCCAAACATTGAACCCTAATCGCTTAGAGAACTACTTTGGTGGTCTAATTTTCTTTTGGTGCTTCAGCTTCTACTACATAGTATAGTGTCATAACCAAGTAATAAAGAGATAAATAAAACAAGGCGCATACTTCTGAGCAAGAGGCTTTTCAATTTAAGTTGGTAAATATTTTTGCCAGTTTAGACCAAAAATTACATTTATACTCTCTTAATTATCAACAATTTATTAATAATATTTGAGATATTTAAAGCTTTAGATTGAAAATGACCAAAAAATTTGAAAAAAGAAAAGGCTTCTATCTAGCTGAAAAAGCTTGTTTATAGGCTCTTTGCAAAAATGTAAGGAGATTACAATTGAACAATATGGTATTCCATTAGACAATAAAAGTTGATTGCAATTTGCCAAAGCAAGAAATAAAAAGTACATTAAGAGAATCATTAACAATATTCAATTAGTCTGGTCTTAGAGACACTTTAACTTATTCTTCTTTTTTTTGTTTGGATTCTTTATATAATTGATATAGACTATATAACTTTATACGATATACTTTTTATATAATAATAGATGATGAAAATCGAATATAACATATTAAAAATTTTCATATAATTCATCTACATAAGATCCAACAACAGACATTGCATAAAAAAAAAGAATATTACTATTACTCTTTATTGCTTTTTAAAACTAAACAAAGCAAAATTGATCATAGAAAGTGAATTAATTATATCCTCTTACACACAAATGGTCCCTAGAAAGTAGAAAAGACATTTGCTGCTTATGCTTGAGGGGAACGATGCTCGAGATTTAAATTAATCCTTTTTTTTTAAAAAAAATTCATAATTCATATAATTTTCTGTTTCTCTTTTTTAATTAGCCCATTTAATTGGACTGCAAAATTTATCGCCGTTTCAGAAATTGGAAGCAGCTGAAATGCAGAATGTCCTGCATTGGGAGGAGTCCAGACAAGCCAGCTGATGACACGTGGGTACGAAACGATGGGACCACGTGGTCTAAACCTCAGTTTTAATTGACAACACCTACCGATATTTATGTTTTTTTTTTTTTTAATTTTATTTTAAAAATATATAAAATATTAATTAAAATAAATATTAAAAATATATAATATATTATATTTTTTAAAAAATATTAAAAGATAAAAAAATCAA